ACTCCTCATAAACTTCTCATGTATGCCAAGGATACTTGTAAAAGGACATACTTGTTATTGTCGAGTCATTTCCTGTCATCCAGCCACATCAGGTACAACAGGAAAACCAACCTAATATAAACTAATATAGTACGGGTCACTATGGTGCAGCACTGACCCAAAAGTCCTGGAAGCACTCAAGTTGAAATCTGAGAGGTTTGTACAGTTAAACTACGACTTGAATTTTTTTTAAAGATTACATCCTCTAAGACCTTTTAATCATAAAATAAAACTCTGCAAAAAACCAGCATAAAACATTCTTCTGCAGAGTCAACATGAATATGAATGTCAGAATGTGAGGTTTCACTGAACTTTGTCATCACATTGCTTCATCATGGTAAATGGACTGATTCTTATATAGCGCTTTTCTACTCTCACTGAGCAGTCAAAGCACTTTATACAACTCGTGCATTCACCCAATCATACAAGCACTTTATCTAAGGTTTTTCATGCTTCTATCTAACATTCACTCGCATTCATACTCTGATGGATGCATCGGTGGGCAACATGGACCCTTGCCCAAGGATATTTGGCACGCAGACTAGAGCAGAATGGATCGAACCACCAACCTTCCAGTAAGTAGGTCACCCGCTCTACCACCTGAGCTAAGTAAGTTGTCAAAGGTAACAATTTCCTTTGTTTCTCACTTCATAAATGCAGATGACAAATGTGGGACAGAGCAGGAGGTCTCAACTCAAAGTCAAACTTACTCAAGTCAGAAAACCAGTTAGTGGACACTTGTACTGTTTTTAAACATTAGCTTTCATTTCATTATGAAGAAATCCATTTCTTATCATGACTTAGGCCTTCTCTGTGGCTCAGGCTGACAACAACAAAAAAGAACCAGAGTGTCCCAGAGTGGTTGTTTGTGGCACATGGGCCCCTGTACAGAGCCACAGCATACGGGGAAGGGAGTGATGGTGGTGTTTGGGAGACGCTGGAAGTGGGAGAAATGTGAAAAAAAAGGTAAAAACACAGGAAGCGGCTGCAGTGAAAACTTTGATTGTTTTTAAAGCTCAGTTTCTCCTCAGTGTGTGTTATAGCTTTGCTCTTCTCCACGGCTGGTTTAAGGACCAACAACAGCAGAAGCAAGAATAGCTTCAATACTAACATTGTTTTGTTTACAAGTGAGTTTCCTTGGCTTGATTTGATTGTATAAATTGTATTTTAAAGCTACACAAACCCAGATTTCAAACGCATGCTGTCCATTCAGGTTGGTCCCAAATTTTCACACCCTAAACCTTGAAGACTTTCAAAGAGCCCTTTGAATAAATGACCTCAGTTCAGTTGAATATCAGCACAAACACCTATGCCTAATTTTAGTTCCCAGTAACACTGAGTATTTGTCACTGGGTATTAGTGTGTGCTGCTAGCTACTAAGTAAACAAGTAATGCTGCTAGTTCACCAAAGGAAACAAAATACAACCAGGCCTGTTTTTTTCACATGTACAATACCTTATGTGCTGTCATTTCATTAAAAATGACTTGATTTCTTTTAGTGTATATGGTTTTCCAGCTTCCTCGGGCACAATGAGCTTTATGTGTTAGTGCCCCAGTTCCCGTAGGGGAGCTCTGGAACATTTTGTATTTACAGCTTTACTGCGATAACATTTGCCCCTCTGAATCACAGGCAGTGCTGTGTGGTGGTGCCACCTTTCCCCTGCCCACTAACAGGACACTGTCTGTCAGTCGGCTACTTTGCCAGCTCCCACACTAAAGTTCCTTTGAAATACCAGTTTGTTTATTCTAGCGTACTAAATATGCAGTGTGCAGGTCAAATAACCTCAGGTTTGCTGTAGGGAGAGGCAGCATTTTTTGATGTTCTGGCCTCAGTCATTTTTAGCTAAATCTTGCAAGTGTCTTCAGTTCTGTTTTCACGCTGCTACTTGGCTGGCTTGGCTTTTTCTATCCTCCTGTGACATTATGAATCGTGACTCCTCCAGAGTCCTTTTTGTCTGTATCTCCTGAAAGCTGTTGCAGGGATGGCACAGTGCTTTCTGGGATTCCAGACCCAAGCGGTTGGGGCTCCCCAAGTGCTGACAAACAAAAGTGGAAGTGTGTTACAGAGTTTGTTCACACCAAACGTAAAGGAAAGTTTTTCTAATAATCGCCTCCATTTACTCCAACCTACCTACGATCTCTTCTTCACCTCTCTGTGCACTGTCCGTTGCTTTGGATAGTTGACTCTGAGGATTTAAACGTGTCCACATTTCACTCTACTGTTTGTAGCTTCACTCTTGTCTCTGTCTCATTCCCACACATGCATTCTGTCTTGCTTCTACTGATTCACCTGATCATATCCTGTCATTAGATTCACAGACATTATGCACCTCCTCTCTGTACTTATCTGTTGACACGCACAAAGCAAACGTTGTATCTGTAAGAGCTCTTACTGATTCGCAAGAAGTCATTCTGCTGCTCATTGATCGGGGCCTCTCTTCTCAGTCTCAATAAGAAATGTTTGTTAGTACATCTGTAAACACCCTAACCTGCTGCACATCCTTTCCAGCTTTATTTCTCTGCCTCGCCAGTTGATAAAAGTTCTTTTTTCCTTCTTTAGTTAGTGCCCAGCTTCACATGCAGTTATGATCCAAAGTTTACATACGTTTTCATCTTGGGCATGAATGTCATGTAATTTTGGGCTTTTGATTATTTCTTTGAATTGTTCTTTTTCCAGGGTTGAATTATGGCACAGCGTACACCTTTGATATACCACGTCAAAGGCGTATAATTTGAAATGTGAAATGTATTTTGGATTTTCTTGCACATAGTCAAAAGTATACATACAAGCTCAAATAACACACTCCCAAACTTATTAAAAAATCAGTTTCAACATTTTCCCAAGGTCTGGAAGAAGACCCAGACTGTCAGATAAGAGGAAACTGGTTAAGGTGAACAACCCAGGAACCACCAAGACCCACAGTGCCATGGACTGAGAGGGTGCCAACCAAAAAAGTAGTCCCTACTCCAAAATCAGCACCTTCGAACTTGTCTAAAATTTTCATCTGCCCATATGGACAAGCCAAAGGATCAGACAAGAAATAGATTGAGCTGTTTGACCACAATAACAAGAGGTATGTTTGCAGGAATAAAGGTGAGAACACCAACAGTCAAGGATGGTGGTGACAGCATAATGCTGTGGGGCTGTTTTGCTGCCAGTGGTACTGGTGCATTGCACAGTGGATGGAATAATGACGATGTAGGAAAATTTTTTTGGTTATGTGTACATAACGTGCAGTGGGAGCGATAATAATACTCATGGATTTTTAACAGTGTTTATCCTTTGTGGGTATTGTGCTGCTGTAACAGTCACTGCTGAAGGAGCTGCTCAAGGCCTTGACAGTCATGCAGGGTGTGAGAGGTGTCGTCCCTAATGGACATTATCTTGGCTAACATCTTCCTCTAGCCCACCTACTCTATGTGGTCTAGGATACTGGTCAGGACAGAGCTACCAGTCTATTTAACTTTTTCCTTTCCCTCTCCGGTTATATACATGTATGAATAAAGTCCCCTCTCACCCCTTCGGATGGTCTTTATCCTTCAAGCTCAGGTTCTCTGCCAGAGGCGTGGGAGCTCGAGGGTCTTTCACTGGGAATATTTTACTATTCCCAGGACTGCGCTCTTCTGGACAGAAATCTCTGATGTTGCTCCTGGGATCTGCTGGAGCCACTCACCTAGCTTGGGGGGTCACTGCACCAAGTGCTCCTATTATCACCAGGACCACTGTTCACCCTCCACATCTTCTCGAGCTCCTCTCTGAGTCCTTGGTACTTCTCCAGCTCTTCATCTTCCTTCTTCCTGATGTCGCTGTTATTCAGTATCGCTATGTCTACACACAGTGGTCGTCTTCCTCTACTTGTCTGGAAGTCCCACAGGATCTTAGCTCGGTCGTTCTCGACCACGTCTACCATTTTGACCTCAGGACTTCCAGGCCATACTCAGCTCAGATGTTTCGGTATACTATGCCGGCCACTTGATTATGGCGTTTCATGTATGCCCTGCCTGGTAGCGTCTTGCATCCTGCCCCCAAACCCCAGCCTCTATGGCACTTGTACTTAGAGCTTTTTCCTTTGCTGCCATGATTAGTGCCTCTAATCTTCTACATCTTCCTGATGTACTCGTGGATGTTTGTTGTCTCATCCTGGACTGTGGTACTGACTCCATGCATGGTCAGGAGCTTCCTGGTTTTGATGTTAGTGGCCAGCTTATTATCCCAGCAGGGTATCTGACAGGCACGGCAGGGCGTAGGTGTTGATAGCCCCGATCTTGTTCTCACTGTTCAGCTGACTATAAGGACTTGCTTGACCCTCTGCAGATAGTGATTGGACTGTTAATCTGGGACACAGGGCATTTCCTGTGCACTTTGCCGGTGGACCAACACTTTTGGGCCGATGGCGGCCTGAATGGCTGCTGTACACCGGCCGTACAAGGACTGACAGCAGCCCATTTGTTCATTGTCATTACTGACTCTGTATTGCCCAATTAAATATCTTAATGCAACTGGCCACTCCCCTACCTTTGCTGTTTGCTCACGCAATTTGAGACAATTAAAACTGAGACAACACAATTAAAAAAAACTAAAATGTTGTTTTGTGACAGGCTGCTAATAACAAATTATCTAAAAATAAAAGGGGTTTCTTTTTCTTTAGGAGCCAGCTGACAAGGATGCCTCCTGGGTGAGGTGTTCTGGGCATGTCCCACCGGGAGGAGGCCCCAGGGCAGACCCAGGACACGCTGGAGAGACTAAATCTCAGCTGAAACCGGATAAGCCGGAGGAGGTGGCTGGGGAGAGGGAGGTCTGGGCTTCTCTGCTTAGGCTGCTGCCCCAGCGACCCGGCCTCGGATAAAGCGGAAGAAGATGGATGGTTTCTTTTTCTTGCCAAGCTGCTTGTTATGCATAGATTAAACACTGGTTGATGCCTTGCTTTTTTGCAAATTCTGTTCAGTATTAGGTGGTTGCACAGTACTGTATATATGACAAAAGTTAAGGAACCATTGTTCTGTTATTTTATTTTTATTGATTAATTTGTTTTTATATTGTGAAGTTCAGGTTTTGAACCTGATCAGTAGGTTTAAATGAGTCAATAGCATGAATGCAGTACAAAAAAAGCAGTTCCCTCTGGGCTTATTTGCTCCTGGTGATCCTCTTTATTATTTATGCATTGATACGATGAGAAGCACTCATTTTGCCCAGTTTATATAACCTAATAAAAGGGTAAGATACTCAATTTAAAGACATCGGAGACTACACATACAGCCCACAGAGAAGCTGTTGAGTCACAGCACCCAGGAAAACTAATTGATTAAATCCACTCGCTGCATTCTCTAAGCACCATGAGGAAGGGGTGGGACCATCAGGAGCTGCAGCACACCTGCTCATGTCAGACGCACAATGGCCAGGTTATTGCTAGTGCTCTGTGCTCCCCGCTGTCATCACTGCTATTAGATGCTGAGGAGGAATGTGCAGACCACAGCTTCCTTCTGTCCTGGTTCCTGGGCAGCTGCCAGCTGAACCATGACTGTCTTTTGTATACAGCTGCAGGACAGCCACACCTGCAGACACCACATGGAGGAGTAGCCCACATTTTCATTAGCCTTTATTCAGTTACTTCATTTCCTGTTTTATCAAACACTGTTAGATGAAGAGTTTAACTTCTATTAAATCATGATCCAGCAGCTTCTAAATCCTGTAGCCTGTAATGAATGAATGTAAAAAGAAATTAAGGAGGTAAAAACTAAGAAATTATATATAAATTGCCCAAAATAATAATGTGGGGTTTTTTGGCACTATATTATATAACTTATATAGTACTTTGGCACTATAAAAGCGTACACCAGTTCATGAAAGGTAGTTAGGGGCAGAATAAACTGCTACAAATGTGAGATCGGGATGAAGATCCCAATTCCACAAGTTAGCCCCTCAACAAAACAGCCAGTGGGTTTTTCTGCAGGCTTTAGGACTGAAGTTCTTTCAGCTGCTCCCTCATGGTTCACCACATCAGATGATCTTCTTTCCCTTTTACACTGACTGCTCTTTCTGATGCAACCCCCAGGGGATTTGTGTCTCGTCTCAGTTTTGAAACAGGAACCTTTTACATGTTGGGCAAATGTTGTTGTGTAGACCACAACACTATGGAACCACTTCACTTAGGCTTTTGGATTAATGACAAAAATATGTTTCATATGTTTTGAACTGGAAGATTATATTGATAAGACAGGCACCAGACATAAAATGCTAGCTTTAGGTTATAAAGACATTTCACATTGGTCACCTCCACTAAACTTCTGTGTTTCACTTAATGACCATCAATGTCTCAAACAATGTCTCTAGTGTCCTTCAGCCACTTACCAGCTACCACATGTTGAGGGAAAATGTAAAATTCATGTGTGCTCCTTTCTTACCATTTTCATGTTGTAGCACAAAATGTGAACGGTTACGTTGAACCCAGACATCTGAAAAAGAAGAAGTGGGAACAACAGTGACAACCCATCTGCAGAAATCATTGCAAATATTCTATTTAATGGTGAAGTTATGTGAAAACTTGCATCCTGCATCCTGAGGCTTTTATGTGTGTGTGTGTGTGTGTGTGTGTGGGGGGGGGGGGTTTAATATTTTTGGTTAATATTCTGTAATGCTCAATTAAAATTAAATTCTCAGAAAACTGAGACCATATACATATCTCCCCTCACCAGGTGAGAGGGGCAGAGTTTTCACATATATAAATTCTGTCTAATCCACTCACTGCTGTGGGTCCTGTCTGGGTCCCTGTTGTGTCTTTCTTGTTTCGCTGTGGTCAGAAGCAACAGCACCTCCACACATATCCTGCACATACTTCCTGTTTGCTTCGAAACTGTGATCCCCGCTCTTTCTGTGCCATTTGGTTTGCCAGATTTCCAGGAAGTCTCACATTGAAAGAATCTAAAAATATCAGGATAGAAAATGACAGCTGGACATGGATTCATTCGTGCTGCCTTGCTTGATTCATGCAGGAAAACTGACTTGTTGGAGGAGTTGATAGGAAGTTAGGCTGGTGGTTGGTGTCAGATATTGAACTGAGAAAACAAACAAATGCCTGATGCCTCCTGACCTCCATGTGGTCTGGAAAAGTTTGCCTGGCTGACAAACAATGGTTGGCACACAGTCAGGGCAGCAGGCTGCCAAACTTGCAACCTCTCCACCCTCAACTCCTCCTGCTCCTGCATCAGTGTCCGATGCACATCGTGGCCAGTGCACACATCCTGGCTTTGTGGGCCAGGAATGCCAAGAATCCAGACTACTGCTCACCTCCCTGCTGCTGCCCAGCAAGGTGCTTCCCCCCCCCCCTCCTCTTTCCCATTGCTGCTCAGCGTCCCAGTTGTTTTACAAGCCAGCTGGCCGGGCTGTCTGGGTGGCTGCTTGCATAAGTCGGGACACTGTGTTTGATTTGATGTTGCACACAGTAACATGACTGCTTCAGTCTGAAGCTGCAATGCCTGCTGTTAGGAAGAGAGCTGAAGGCCACAGGCTGGCTCACTGCAGCATGCTCAGATTTGATGAAGCTCTCAGGGTGGGCTGTGGGAGGCTTGGATGAGCCTTCAAATCACGTCTGAATGTGAAATCTTTGACACCTTGAAATGTCTTGGTCATTTCGGTAAACAGAATTACAAGATAAGCGAAGCAGTAAAATATATTTGCATGTATAACTATAATATAGGAGCTGCAGTGGACTGTGCTAGTTTAAGAATGAAAGCATCCTCCAAAGATGACATAAACTTCATAGGCATGTGGAGTATTAGCAGATGGAAGAGTGATAACTGCCAGCAAGCAGCTGCACTGAGTGACAGTTCATGGCTGTTTCATGTGGATGTGATCAGGCTGGGTCACAGTTCAGGTGTCTGGCACCAGGGTCAAAGCTGGTCCTGAGACACCTGGACCTCCTTCCTGAGAGCAGGAGTGAAAATAGTCCACTGCAGGAATGAAAGGAGTCTTTGTGGATGTTTCAGCAGCCTTTCTTCTCCATGTTAAATATTGCAAGTAAACCGGGTCTAATGATGCTCAAGGCGCTTTACATGCTGGGAGTGATAGATGTGATAGATGTGTTATGTCTCATTCACCCATTCATCCATGTTCTATGTCTCAGGATTGAATCAGAGTTCTGTGGGGAACTCTTGTAGAGCCTAGAGCCTATTTATGCTATTGTGTGGTGAATTACATGTGAATTACAAAGTGGTGCCTAGAAATAGAAAAAAATTAAATGCTGAGACATTTTTCTTCTTCGTCATAATTCTTTATGTTCAGGGGATGAGTGTTTTTCTCTCACTCTCAAAAAATGTGTAGCTGTAAATGCACGACAGGAATCAATAGAACAGGCTAATCACAATAGTCGAGGCTCTGCCAAGGATTGAAAGTTTTTGTTATAGCTTACCTTTTTACCTGCTTCTTCTTTTGTCCTCCGTGTGTCCAGCTTCCTCAAGTTTTGTAAGGACACACTGCACACCATGCCAAGATATGTATATGCTATTTCAGAATTGTGTTATCCTTGTCATGTCATTTCTAGACGTGCTTTTGTCACAGGCTGCTAGTAACAAAGTATAGATCCGTCCGTCTGTCTGTTCGCTTCCGCTTATCCTTTTCAGGGTCGCGGGGGGCACTGGAGCCTATCCCAGCTGTCATAGGGCGAGAGGCGGGGTATACAGGTCGCCAGTCTGTCACAGGGCCAACACACAGAGACAGACAACCATTCGCACATTCACACCTATGGGCAATTTGGATTAACCAATTAACCTATCCCCACTAACTGCATGTCTTTGGACGGAGTCTTCCTCCCGCCGGAGTCTTCCTCCCACCGTCCAAAGTATATACAATTTAAAATAGTCTGTTACGTGTAGACACAACACCGGTTCATCCCTTGAGTTAAGTGTCTTTGTAAGGCTTGAAACATTCATAGCTCAGTGTTAAGTGGCTTCACAAACTAAACTGTGAGGTGCAAAATGTAAAGAGTTAAGGGGACGATCGTGGACTTTTGCACAGTGCTGCTTTTAAGGAACAGGCCAGAGACCTTCAGCAGCCTTATCGAAAGCCAAATTAAGTTTCCCATGTTTCTTGACAGCCTAGGCCAACTTAATGCAAGGACTTTCCTGCTCTACAGCAAAACACTCTTTACGTGCCACCACGGTGACAATGGGAATGCAGAGTTTTTCCTGCCAATCATGGGAACACGAGGATAAGCCTGTGTTTCCTGGAATGCTGCCCATTAGGAAAGAGACGGAGGGAACACAGGATGTTCTGAGCACATTGTCCTTCAGTGTAGAAGAGAGCTGTTTACAGGGAGTTTCTCCATTCTCACAGTTAATCATTCTGAGCCTCACTGAGCGGGATTCCCTCCTTAAGTTTTCCATTACACCTGTCCAACCACTGGCTTCTTTTTTTCATGTGCTAAGTATGTCCTCTGCTGTTTCCTTTCTAGCGTGTTCATGCATAGAAAACTAACGATTTTCACACACACTCTGAAAACTACAAGCAGTTTAACCAGGATTTGGCAGCTCTTGTAAACCAGGGTTTTCCTGGTGACACCTTTAATGACACCTTGACTCATCCATAATTACACTGTGACGTTAACACATCTGTAAGTGTTTCACACCTCCTCCTCCTCTCTCTGGACGCTCTGCTGAGAGGCGCAGTAATGATGTCACAGGGCAGGGGCATGTGTGTCTATAAGTGCAGAGAGAAACCTCTGACTGAAGTAGAGCTGAGCCACGCTGCTGGAGAGGCACAGGCAAATTTACCTCTGGGTGCCAAACTCACCTCTGGATACTTTTCATCCTGGAGCTGCAAAAATAACTTCTTTCCTCTTGGGAATCTGGATGTGAAAGCCTACTTTTTGTTTGCTTGCTTTATTTGCTGGGATCAGGATGCTTTGTCCTGTTGCTTTGCAGCGGATCTCCTTCACCCTGTTTATGCTGGGCAGAGCTGCAGTAATGGTGAGTTTCTGTGGCTATAAATGCTTTTTATTTCTGTGATCTTCCATATAGTTATTTTAGATGACATTTTGATTACCATTTTAAAAAATAAATAAATAAAAATCAGTCTGAGCTGACCTCTGACCCTGGTATTTAGGTAGACAGTGCATGCCCAGCTGAATGTTCCTGCCCCCCCTCGCCTCCACTGTGCCTGCCCGGCGTCAGTCATGTAACTGACGACTGTGGCTGCTGCAAAGTTTGTGCTCGGCAGTTTAATGAGGACTGCAGCACGACAGAACCTTGTGATCACATCAAGGGGCTGCACTGCCATCTGGGGGCTGGAGGAAACCCAGAGAGAGGACTGTGTCAAGGTGAGCAAGGAGTTTATTGAAAGCTCACAGCTTCAAATCATTAAAGGAATAATTATTCTGATGTTGGAACAAAAGCTACAAACAAGAACACAGCTCCTGTACCAAGAATCAGACAGCAAGGGTAGATGCACACTGTTGAAATTACAGAGCAACTGTCCACAAACACCCTGCAGATGCATTTTAAAGGAACTCTGGACACTTTTATGTAATGACTCTAATGGCTCTGGAGGAGCTGCTTAAGGTCTAGCTGGAAAATAAATAAATGAAAAAGCAGGAATGCAAACATTTATTTGAAACAAAAGGTGCTATGAATCTGTGGGATGATTACAGACGAGCATTAAACTGTTCAAAAAGCATGAAATCTCCCTGATAGGAAATCCATTTGATTTCTTGGTGTATTTCTCTAGAGTATGACGTCTTAGCTGAAGGGCCAATATTAGGCTCACTTACAGGTTACTCAGGTTAACTTTACTAGATAATGTTTACATGCTTATTTATTATTCTTTTTTTGCAATACATTGCTTCAGCATCTCTTTTGACCTCCAGTCAGAAATGTTTTGTTTTAGCTCGTCCTCCATAAGAAACCTTTTCTTTGACTGCTCAGCTGGCCTGGTGTGAAGAAAAGTAAAAGGTTGAGCAGATTTTACAGATTTTATGAGTATTTGTTTTTTTTAATTCCATGGATCTTGACCTTCACACATGTACCTTCAGGGAAATAAAAAGTCAGTTTGATTTGCACTAAAGCAGAAAAAGTGACACAGCAGCACATTAACACACAGACGATGCTTGATTATTGGTTGATGTTAGCATCAAAGCTGCAGACGTGATAACGCTAACGGTTTTCCTGTTGTGAAGCTTCTGCCACTATAATACACACAAAGCAACACTCTGAGTCTTCAGCTAGAAAAGTGGCTTTAGCATGGAAACGAAAATGGAAGATGGTGAACCATGAGGCAGCTGACAGCATCTGTGTTTAGAGGATGGCCTCAACACATGTTACATAGATAAACAACAGAGGGAAAGCATGGAAAAGCCAAAATGGTGGTTCATCAGCAGTGTTTCCTGTGAGCGAGACGTAAAAAGCTATACAACATACAAAGTGAGAGGTAAAAACACAAAAACGCAGCAAACAGACTCATTAAGTTTTTGCCGTATCCTTCCATGAAGTTCAAAAGTGTCTGCTAACAGCTCAGTTTCCTGTTTTCTATGTCAGCTGAAGCTCATGGCGTACCCTGTGCATTCAATGGGCGAGTGTACCAGCATGGTGAGGACTTCCAGCCCGTTTGCCAGCACCAGTGCACCTGCATGAATGGTGTGGTGGGCTGCATGCCCCTCTGTCCCTACCAAGTGCCCCTGCCTCGGTGGCGATGCTCAAAGCCCCGGCTGGCGCAGCCCGAGGGTGGCTGTTGTGAAGAATGGGTGTGTGATGATGACAACAGCATCAGCGAGGAGCTGAGTGAGCCAACAGAGAGCCAGCTCCACCCAAACCACATCAGTCCTTTGCTGCCAGTCCAGCGACAGAATCCCCTCCCAGCTGCCAGCGGAGCAGATACATTCAGAGGTAAAGTTGAAAATACCGTAAATCATCAGAGCAGCACTCTCAAATAAGTTGATGACTTTATTGATGTGAAATATTCACAAAACCCTCAAGAACTCCAAGAAGTGACTCACAAGGTAACTATTGTCTGCTGGCATCCATGACTTCATTGCTGTATTGTGCTCTCACGCAGAGATCGCATCGTTCCCCCTCTCTGAGGTCTTACATGAGCCCCAGTGTTTCCCACAGACCACTGAGTGGACCCAGTGCTCTGCCACATGTGGGATGGGCATTTCAAGTCGTGTGACCAATCACAACCCAGACTGTCAGCTAGTCAGAGAAACCAGACTGTGCCAGATCCAGCACTGTGACCTGCAGCTTCCCATAACTAAGAAGGTAGTGTATACTCAAATGGAGATGGATGTAGAATGCCGATAGGAACATCTGAGATTTGTTATTTAACTGTGGCTGTCTCTGTCATCCTGGAAGAAATGTCAGCGAACCTTCCGCCCACACGAGCCAGTCAGCATCACCTTTGGTGGATGCTCTACAGCTCAGCGATATCGGCCTCGGACCTGTGGCACTTGCACTGACGGCCGCTGCTGCGCCCCGTCTCTCTCTCGCACCGTGCAGCTCCGCTTCCACTGCCCCAGTGGAGACATCCTCTACAATGTAATGTGGATCCAGCACTGCAGCTGCAGTACGAGCTGTGGTAAACACACCTATCACTCCAGCACCTCCGTCAACCTCCACAATGACATCCACACTTTCAGAGACTGATGCTGACTTATCAGCGGACTCTGCACCTCCCCCTCGCTAAACTCACTGCCTCAATGTCTGTCCGCTGGGTGGGAAAGGAGTCCGCTCGCTTGCACTTTAAGCTTGCTGTCATGATGATGTCACTTTGTCCACGCTACAGGCGGTGCCTCTCCAGCGTCCTATGCAGTCTCGAGGACGACACAAAACAGTGTGACTGCTATGCCACAGTGTAGGCCGAGAGCTTTAACTGAAACTTTAATTTATTTTCAACTTTGTTTTCTTTTCCACAGAGGGTGACACGACAACTTGTCAAACATAAAGAAGGCTTTTTAACAGGCATATTAACAGGAAGTAATGGTTATCAAAGACATGCATCTTTGTTCTTCACCACGTTTTAAAATGCTGAGGAGCAGTGGCATCGATTGTTGGTTCACATGGATTGTGCTTGATACAGTCCACCTGTTCCCCGTACAAGTACTGACGGGGAAATGTGTGAGATGTGCCTGTTTTACAGCGACAGGCTTTCAGAAAGGAGTTTACAGACTGTGCTTATTATGCTACTTTGGTATATTGATTAAAATCCTACAGGCTATACAGACTTCACTCTTAGTTGTGGAGTGAGAATATTCGAGGATCACCTCATTTTTCGAGGTGTGATACCGTTGTGTTTTTTAACGTGTGTCTATCACTGTGTACATATAATAAATACATGTTTGGTTCTTAAAGCTTCATATCTGACACCTGTCACTTGTGTATTAGAAGTTTATTGGTTGTAAACTCCTGTATGTCAAATAAAAACTTAACCTGTGATGTGTCTTTATGGTAAACAAAAGTTTGAGGTGATGTTATGCTGGGTGAAGGTTCCACAGCATAAAAGAAAGCAATATCAATTAAAATGTTTCTAATTATTCCATTAGTGTTGTGGAAAATGCAGTGTGTCCAAGTAAGCAAACATTTCCAAGCTAAGGTTAAAGATTCGTACACCAATAGGATTGTCTTTTATGCACTATTGTTCCCACCATTTGGTTGGTACATAATGATGTAAAATAATAACTTCCCTCAAAATGCAGTAAACCTAAAGTAACGAGTTTTGTAAATGTAAGAAGTAAAAAGTAAAGAAAGTTATTTAAAATGGAGTAAATGTAAAAAGTTGTCAAAAGATAAATATTCACCAGATATCAACAGATACCTGAAAACTCAACTTAAGTACAGCAACAAAGTATCTGTGCATTACTTCCCACCTCACCTCAGGTCCTTACACAAGCTTCTGGTTGACTCTTGGGCACAAACATTGCAGTGGACTACCACATTCCTCACCTGGCCTGTGCCTTTTTCTGAGAGGAGAGAGGAACATGGTGGCTTATTGGCTGCTATCATCAGAACTACTGGTGAGATCTTGGTCACTCACTCACTCTACAAACATTGTCTCAGAGTGGCTCTGTAAAACTCGTTTGTTTTTGCTTCTAGACTGGACTACTGTAACGTTATTTACACCTTCTTCTAAAAGCTTCTTCTGTTGATCCAAAGTGCAGCAATGAGTACCGACACAACAACAAAGAGACAACATATGGCGCCCATATCGACTTCTCTTCACTGGCTCCGTGTTAAATCCATAACAGACTTTAAAGTCTTTCTCCTCATTACAAGGTCTTCAAAAACCAGGCCCCATCTTTTCTTAAAGACCTCATACTATGAGCACAATAGAGCACTTCAATAAATATTTAAGTAAGGTACAAATACCTGAAGATTCTACTTAAAGTAGAAAGTATCATATAGTTATAGCATATATACCTTGTTACGTCCCACCTCTGCTCATGTCCTCGTGCAGTGTTGGCTCTTTAGCACAAACATTACGGTGGACTACTACATTCCTCACCCCGGCCTGTGCCTCATTCTGAGGGGAGAGTGGAACACAGTGATCTATTGGCTATCATTAGAACTACTGGTGAGTTACATGTTGGCCAACTCTGTAGTCCTGACCATGATCAACTGAACTAGAAAAGGTTTTGGTTATTTTGTCTTAGTTTAATTGGGCTGCATGTGCTGCACATCAATACTGGGTGTGGGTCTAGTGCAAATATGTCCTAATGGGAATACCACTGGTCCTACTGCTGTACATATTAAAGGCACCATGCTGGTTTGAATCATATCTAATAGATTAAATCTATAAATATAGATATTCATAAAAATGGGGAGTCAGGTTCACACAGTCAGGCTAATTATGGAGTTCCACAGGGTTCTGTTTTAGCACCAGTTCTGTTTACATACATACATGCTTGCATTGGGCAGTACAATTATTATTACAATTATTAATTATTGTTTAAGTAGGCATATCTGTGTTGTGTAGATATAACCATGTAAAATTACCAATGACAAATAAGAATAAAATTGAGCTGCAGAAAGAAACATACGGTACATAAATGCCTTCTCACCATGGAGACTTCCTTACCATCCACTTCGCTGTTCAGTGCCTCTAGATGACGACAATTGTCTACCTGCACAGTTTGTCTGGTGTAAACTCAGGTAAATGATCCGAGTTGTTATACACTAAAGCTGGTGGCCCCTGACAACAATTAACTGCTGCTTTGTTTAAGAGTCATCCTGGTGTTTCAGTGAATTTTACACCCCAAAAAGAAGTACCCCAGGTAGATATAAGGGAATATAAAACAAAACACCCAGCACGCCCCTGCGGGCGGTTTATCCTTCAAGCTCGGGTCCTCTACCAGAGGCCTGGGAGCTTG